CTTCGGCAGTTTGACAAGGTAACCCTTCTTCCAATCAACTGGCAGGTAGGTACCTTCTCTTCCTTCCACACCTTCTGCAATAGTGGTGTGAGCATGTCCGCTGTTGTCTCTGCGTCCGTTCTCAGTGCTTCTGGCGGTATTCCATCTGGTCCTGCTGCTTTCCCGCATTTCAGTAGCTTTATGGCGTTCAGGACTTCCATTTTCGTTGGGGGATTTATGTTCACTTGTAATTCAGCGGCTGCAGGTGGTATTTCTGGACGAAGTGCAGGTGGTGGTCGATTCAAGAGCTTCTTGAAGTGGTCAGCCCATCGTTTCCTCTGTTTCTCTTCTTTTGTAATTAAATTTCCTTTTTCATCTTTTATTGGTTTCATCTGTGTTGGTCTCTTCCCTGATAGCAACCTGGTTATTTGATACAATGTCGTCAGGTCTCTCTCACAACCTGCAGCCTGTTCTGCTTCACTTGCCAGTGTTTCGTAGAAGTGTCTTTTGTCTTTCGTGCACTCTTCTTCACTTCTTTGTCCAGTGTTTTGTACATTGTACTCAGTTCCTCTTGTCGTTGAGCATCCTTGCACTGGTTTATCTTCTGTTTCACCATCCTCCTCTCCTCTTTCAGCTTCCAGGTATCCACTGAGATCCATTCCTTATCTTCTTTCTTCTTCCTTCCTAATACGGCTGTGCAGGTTCCTTTCCACATCTCCTTCAAAGATTTTCAGTGTTCTTCCACATAGGTTACTTCAGGGATGTTCCTCGATATCTCCCATTTTGTCTTGATGGCTGCTTTGAAGATCTCCTTTGTCATTTCATCCTTCAGTTTCCGAGTGTTGTACTTGAATTGAGGTCTATCACCAGCTTCCTTGAAGGCTTTCAACTTGATTTGGAAGGTTCCTTGCACTAGACAGTGAGTGGTCTGAACCTACATCTGCTCCTCTTCTTGACCTTGTGTCAAGTAGTCTGACTGCGTCTCCATTTTCTTGAGATTGAGATAAAGTCGATTTGATTTTTAGTGTGTCTGGTATCTGGTGAAATCCATGTCGCTTTGTGGATATCCTTGTGCTTGAACACACTGCCTCACTCCAATCACCAAATCGTTGAATGCACAGAATTCTGCAAACAATTCTCCATTCTCATTCATTTCACCTAGTGCCTCTCGACCCATGGTTAGTTCTCTTCCTGTGTTTTCCCCTCCCAGTTTGGCATTCATGTCGCCCATTAGAATTTTGATATCGCCAACTGACGTCTTGTCCAGTGTTGATTGAAGTTGTCTGTAGAATTCCTCCTTTTTCTCTTGCTCTGCATTATTTGTAGGTGCATAACATTGTATGATTGTGACCTTTCTTCCTTTTGAGTTGAATCTTGCTGTCATGATCCTGGAGGAGATTGGTTCCCACTGCATGAGAGCCTTCGATGCTCTTGAGGACATCATGATAGCCACTCCATAACTCAGTGTGCTCGTGGTTGGCGTCTGGGTGACCGGAGTAGATTATTGATTCTCCAGTTGACAGTTTGGAGAGTCCACTCCCATTCCATCTGCTTTCGCAAATCCCAAGCACTTCGATGTTATACCTTCTCATCTCCTTTGCAATCTGGGCTGCCTTACTGGGTTCAAACATCGTGCGGACATTCCATGTCCCCACGTTTACTTTTGCTTTCATCGAGAGAAGACACATCGGCCAATTGGCTTCCCGAAGGCTTTCACCAACTGGCGTCATTTCGCCTCTCCGATTCCAGCGGGGAATAAGTTTGTTTTCATTTTTTATATTTTGTTTGTGCTTTGAAGTTTCTTTAGCGGTTAGATTTGTTTTACGGGGTAGGGTTGCTAGCCCTATGCCCAACCTTCCCTCTTTACCCGGGCTTAGGACCGGCTAGTAACTAGTGAACTAGTTAACCAGGCGAGGTTCCTTTTTTATTAAGGAATTACTATTTTCAAAACTGGCTACCATCATGCAACTAGGTTAAGTTCTGTTAAGAATAGCTGTAACTAAATTAATCTCATGGCTTGCAAAAAGGATATTGAGAAAAAGACAAATATTCTGACTGTTATTTATTTTGATTTTGACTGGGGATTTGTGATTATTATTCTCGTTTTTCCTTGACTCACCACCTAGTTTACTGTTAATCCTGGATTTTAAATCTCTATTAATTTTTAGATAGTTAAAGTACGTTATTATTACTTACTAATGCTTCATTTCAATTGTGGGACTGTTTGCAGCTGATGAAAGGCCATGAAATAAAATGAGCTCATTTTATTCTGAAAATATCTTTGTTCTTGTATTGTTCACATAATATCTTGTTCCTGTTCTTAACTTCTCCAATATTTTAAAAACACAAAGTTGCCTCCAGAGCTGATTACTTGTCTTCCGAGTACTATGCCAGGAACCTGGTGGCTGTCGGTCCGAGCCCTCTTCCGGCCTGAATTTACATTTTACCCGCAATCAACACCCAGTATCAATAAAAGTCTGCCAAACCACGACAATCTTAAATAGTCAAACTGATAATTAGTAATATCCGACATAAACAGACTTCAAGTACGTTAGTCAGCATTGTCTAATGTGAAGGCGGAAAATGACATTCCAATTAGGCAAGTGGCGACCGATTCTCCATGAAACACTGTGAATCCTTCGAAGAAGAAGAATGTTAAGTAAGATTAACTTTCAGATACTGGACGAAGGTACAAAAATGTTTGCAATCTTATAAACAATAAAGTAGGAGAATAGCACCGGTAAGGACACTAAAATTCAAAATAATAATTTTTCCTATACAGGCAGATTATGCACGACCCATTTCAATTTAACTTGTTCATAGACGTACATATATGGAGGTCTCCCACTCGTTGTCTGACTAGAGAGATTGACCATATTCCAGCGAAATGCTTAGCAGAACGAGAGTACGCAGATGAAACGGTCCTGTTGGGTTAAGAAGACACATTGATAAGGTGCAGAGTGGCAGTTTGACAGTGTTTGCAATGCGTTTTCCACCACCTGAATACAAATTTTTGCTTTAGTAATGATCTCCAGTGGTGCCTTTTTTAACAATATGGAGTGAGACAAGTGAGCGCACTGACTAATTACCTACCAGGTGGGCTGGTGACCGTTAAATCTCTACTCGGACACAAAAGGCTTGAATGGCCTTTGCCAACTTAGGCCATCTACGGTACCAACGTGATATTCAGTCGCCTATTAAGGGTCAAGTGCACTGAGATGCAGTTCGCTCCGTTCTATTACATGACTCCAAAACATGGATATTAAAGGTAGAGGACATTATAGGTCATGTAGTTTGACCACTGAGAATTTACAAATCTGCCGCAACCAGTAGTTGATGATTAAAAGGGAGGGCAGATACAATTAGCGTTTTCAAGCTAAACTGACATCCATTCAATGCAATTTCTACTAAATATTAAGGTCTAGATCCATTTCTCTCTCTCAACCACTACGGCAAAAAATTTGGTGCAGTGGTGGTTATATTCTCCAGTTGCAGTTGGGCTTAAATACCAAGACTATAGGATAGCAATGAGCCGTGATGACTTTAAAGATCACCCTAGCAACTGATGAGATAGACAATTACGGTCCTTTACTTTATGGAAAAGCACTTTCCCAGACGAACTACCAAAGTCTGATTGGTCATCTCAGTTGTTGCTAGGGTGGCGTTTAAAGTCAGTCATGTTCTGAAGCTATCGTATCCGTAGCCAACTAATCAATTGTGAATGTCCTTCAAGCACCTGTTTTCCTTAGCATTCTCTGACCTCCAGATTAGGCCGCCTACGTTTTAGGATCTCATCCTCTTCATATACACATTTTGCTAAAAAAAAAACCAATTTTATATTGTATGGCGTAAACAGGTAAATTCGCTTTCTCTCTGACTCAGCTGGTGTGACGTTAAGACTAACGCTAGAGACCACTCCAACCACTGCTGAAATAACCAGTCAGAGTTCTGTATTTGATGAAAAACTACCTTTCCAATGAAAATAAAGAAATCTAGATCGGCTATTTCAATTGTTGCTAGGGTGGCATTAAAAGTTACTAGACGTTAGTGGCTGTAGTACGAACTTCGGCATTTCAATTCGGTGGATAACGATAGTTGGGACCAGTGTTTGGACATTTCCGTCAATCCGTTAGTCATAAGACCTAGTCAGGAACTAAAACCAGGGTAAGACCAGAACATCGACTGAACGGCCGTCAACTCAGAAATAAAAAGAGGCCCAGTTAGATTCGGAAAGTTAGATAGTGTTCATAGCACACAAGCAGATTAAATGATAAGTGTCGCTTCTTATCTGAATCCTACTCAGAGAGCTTATTAGATGGACAACTTGAGTGGAATGTGAAAGTATATATATGAGGAAGAAGTTAGTAGGAAAAATCCATACGGCCGTACCCATACGAAGAAGGAGCTGCGACTTACTTGGCTCAAGGAGTCACGATTTCGAACCCCGCTCTACCTGACGAGATTTGGGCAGCCAGGTAGTAGTATCATTAGACCTTAAACAATAGGTGTGGCCCATCGACTACTGCTCGAATATGCACGTGTTTGCAGAGTGGATTTCAATTTCATTTTGATCCTAATACGTATGATGAGTTGATGGAAGCAACCAACAATGACTCTCACCACCGATTGTGATAAACTGATTAGCCTATGCTGATAAATGCCTTTATCTACAATTATCAGGTTGTCCCTTTGAAACAACATATCTGAAACATCTGTGTCTCTTAAGCTAACTAACTAGCTCATGCAGCAGGAAACACCAAAACTGTGCAAAACACCGTTCCAAAGAAGCATCAAAAATCATTTCAACAATGTGGTTAATTCTGCATTAATATCACTGAAAAGGTTGATAAACTTAGATTCATAGAGAGGAGAAGGCTTACACCTAATTGTTTCGCACGATAATTCGCACTTGGCTCCATGGTTTTCGAAATTCAAACAAAAAGCACTGAATCCTGTGAACCAGCGTGGAAGTAAAATGATTTGTTTTTTAAAAAAAAGAAAAAAGTAATCATGACACTCACCGACAATTAGTACATGTGAAGCAGATCGGCGAACTACATTTGACTCATGGTTCAATTCTGTGTAATTCGACAAAGGAATATCTGGATCTGATTGGTTCATAATACAACTATCCTCTCGGTGTAATACCCCATCACAGCCAACTTCATCTTCGATAGATGATGAGTGATTCAATTGGTTGCCACCACCATGTTCATCATCGTCTTGATCATCATTACAAGTAAACCCTAGTCGATATGATATAGAACCATCTTCATGATCTGTATTGAATGAAAGATCAGTTTCTGGTGGATTCGCCTTACTTCTTTTATGATCAATTTTACAAGAAAGAGTAGTAGTGGCATCATCATCATCAGTTGAACGACGATTCTGTCGGCTACGACGTTTTTTTATTTATGCCTGTTGTTTGTGTTCCACCGAACAAAGCTAACAATAATCCAGCTTTGATCATACCACGACCACATATACTAGGGCATAATGAACAGACTAATAGACGGAATAGATTTGGTTGTTCACTGATTTCACGGATTGCATATAAATCTTTCACAGAGAACTCACTATCTAATACAGAATAAAATAAAGACAAGCAAATTATGAAAATATAAGTACAGCTTGCTCCAATGATTTTCAGAAACTTAAGTAATAATAAACACGGTTAACAGATGGCAATTTTTACAGCTTTTTGTTATTCTCTCAGTAAAAAGAGATTTGTTGCAAGTCTTCTCATTGAGAAACTGCAGCCTAGCATTTCATCTAACCACTGGATACCGTGTTTTTGTGCTTAACTAGTAGGATTATGAAAATTGAACTAACCGTCTACGGTTATGGAACCACGTAATCGACTGTAGTATTCGGGCACTTACACAAGGATTTCATATGTAAACGCAAAGACTGATCAATCCAACCGAATTAATCTTTGGTTTAGGCAGTTGACTCCCTACCAGTGGTTCCGGTAGCCAGGTGTATCTTTAGGGGCGAATTTAAAAGCAACCCTAACAACTGACAAATAAACAGTTAAGTTACAGTATTTCGACTAAGACAATTTTTCATAAAATAGAGAAAGGCGATTGGTTGTTTCGTCAGTTGGCGGGGTAGCCTTTAAAGTCACTCATCATTAGTCTTCATACAACAGGTGCGACTTATTGCCTACTGCACAAATGTGCACAAGGTTCCTGAGTGTAATTCGACCGAGTGATATTTGAAACAATTTACTACAAGATGGCGTTTCTAAAAATATATCACACCATATTAAGTGAAAAGGGCTGAAACATAATATGGGTAAACTGTAATCTACTAGTGATAGGCAGACAAACAAAACAAGGTAGAACCTCGCACACATAAGTGCATCGGTTCAACTTGTCACACTTTACAGCAGTATACAAAAAACAAGTGGACTGATATCACAGTTGTCAAAAGTTGGAGGAGGGGATTTAAAAATGAAGGTTAGTCAAAACATCCAAGTTTGTGAAGACATCAAAGAGTGAATATATATAGGCACCATTGTGACCGATTTTCAGTCGTTTAGCCAAAAGTCTTCAACCACCCATTCCTACCGTCTCGAGGTTCCCAATCAGGCAGTATGCACCTTCGCTACATGGTCCAGACCAATAGTCAGGAACTTCATGTACTGGTGCACCGGATTGGTCTGGTCATCCTGAACCGTCTGCTAACCTATTCCAACTTCCATTGCATTGTACCTCGAGGTAGGCAGTGGCTCGGTATGAGCAAGACATGCCAAAGCCACGTCATCCAATGAAGGTTCACAACCTTATCAGCCGACTTGTCTGCCTTGCCTAGTAACCCTTCACCTGACCTCGATAATGCTAAGTTGATGATTCCACCACCAAATGCGACCAATGTTACAAAGACATCCACAGCCAAAAACCTGTAGTCTCTTCCTATTGTCTACTTCCAGAGGCCATATCTTAAAGCTGTATAATAACAGGATAGAACGAACTGCAGCTCAATATATTCGTCCTCTGATAGGTAATCACACACCTCCCCAGTCAGTGACAGAGATGATCCAAGTTGAGGTATGCCAAACGGTTCTTCTGTATGCGAGCTGAGGATTCGTCAGCAACCAGTCTGTTCCGGTTGGTGAAAATCAGAAAAAGAGTAGACAGACAGATTAAGAGGAAAAACCTTAACTTTGATACAGCTCCTGAGAATCGTATTCACTTGGACCAGTGTAATGTTTGCATTCAATCTAGGTCAAGTGGATGCATAAGAACCTGAAGTTCATTGTATTCAGCTTTCACAATTGAGTAGGAATATCAAGTTGGGGAATAAACTGAGTACCAATGATCGAGACTTCAATTTGTGTATTAACCCTGTTGACTCACTTTGCTGAGTTGTAAGGTGAGTTTTGTACTTTGAGTAGTGTCCCTTGAGGATATCGATTCTCTCCATTCTTATTCAACTTTACTATAAAAGTTCTTATGGAGGTCACCCTCTCGTCCTCCTATTTCATAGAGATTCATCCCATTACTGGAGAATCCATAGTAGGCATAGAGTATGCAGATGACAGAGTCGTGTTAGGTGAAGACGCTGAGAAGATGAAGAGTCTTCTAAACTCCTTGACTGACAATTTGAGAATGTTTTCCATACATTTCTCATAACCCAAATGCAAATTGTTGCTTCAGGACTGGTATTCACCGGGGCTTTGTCTAACAATTAGGACTTAAGTGGTTAAGTCTGTTCAAAACTTCACTTACTACGGAAGTCGGGTCAGTCCTGGTGGGTTACTGACCGACGAAATCTCACGGATACAAAAGGTTGATATGGCCCTTACCAACTTACGCCATCTGTGGTGCTGCCCTGACATCCGACTGTCAAGTAAGGATCCAGTGTACTGCTAGACAGTTCACCCTGTTCTACTATATGACCATGAAACATGGCTATTAAAGGTAGAGAATAAGATGAGGCTTCATGAGTTCAGCCAACCCTACCTTCACATATCCCATGTTTCGTGGTACCGCCACGTCATTAACATAGAAGTCAGGTGTATCTACACATGATTCTTATCTAAATCGTCGTACCGAATCTCATTATTGTCTGATTGTTCGCTGCTCTCTTCTGCTTATTTTTCTATCACTTTTAACTGCCTTCTTGATTTACTGATCTTTCATCTTGGTGCTTTTTCACTTGATGTGCCGATATGAGGTGTGACAACTTGGAACGATATGCACTAATGTTTAGTCCTTTTTTGAGCTTATCTACCTATTTATGATTGAATGGTGACGCTTTAGTTACACATGGATAAATATAAAAAGACTGACTTGTTGATGCACCCATATGGATATTTCAATAATATCGAAACTTCGGAACGTTAATTTAATAAAAACAGTTGCTTAAATACAAAGATGCAACTACGGTGAAATAATTGTAATCTGACCTGCATATATCAAGTGATCAATTACGGGCGAGCAATAAAATTTTAACAATAGATGTAGGCTAGCATTTTGATTTATTCTAATACACATGGACCTAAAGCATTTCTCTCAGTTAGAAACATGTTCTCAATTATTTTCTAATCTCCGAATAAATCCATTTGATCATACGAAAAAGATAATAGCAGAAAATTCTTATTAGATGTACTTTCAACGTATGCCCTTCAGATTTAACAACAAAATCTATACATACATAGATGGCGTCCCATAGGATCCCTCCTAGCCAACTGCTTTATGGTAAGTTAGGAAAACAAAAGCTTGTAAATAATAGTCAGTGAGCTTCATATCATCTACAAAAGATACATAAATGATACGTTTATTATTTGTGACGAGAATACGAATCTCGAAAACTTGCTTCAAACTTTGTACAAAGCTCATTCCACTATCAACTTCAACATAGAAACAGAATCAAACTCAAAATCCCTTAATGTTCAACTTCAAAGAAAAGATAACAATTCACTGCATATATATTTACAGAAAGCCCATTTAGAACGCGTAGTTCATTAATTTTCAAAGTTGAGTCTCCTGAAGCAGAAAGAGGAATCTTACCAACTCACTCTCTTTAAGAATATGAAGAATATGCACGGAGTATACTATTGATGGTCAACTAAAAAACTTACGAGAAATCCTAATGGAAAATGGATGCCCACTGAAATTTACAGATAAAAATGTAAATTCGTAAGAAGTCACGGAACACTTGCATACTGCTCGGGAAAAGATTTCACTACCCAATATTTAATTCAAGGGGAATAAGGTGGCAGATGTCCTTAAGAAGCAACTATCATGATCCATAAGCAGAACTGTTTTGCCGCCAATCTAAGAATCATATTCTCCTGTCAGAAACCTATTCCTTAGCATGTTAAGGATAAGCTGGAGCACTGAGCCACATCAGTACGTGTGCATCAGCTAACTTGCTCTTGTGAAGCCGAGTACATCAGCTGCACCATGCCCCAACTTGTGAAACGCGCTTGAGAACACTACCCAACCTGGTTGACTAGGAAAGAATACGATTGCATCTTCAGCTGTCACAAAACACTTAGTGAACAAAGGACACTGCCCATTTCTATAAATTCTTCATAATTTTTTACAAAGTACAACCAAGCCACTCGAAACCAGTAGGGTTAAAACACCTGAGTTTAGCTGAAGTATTAGCGTATCAAAAGTTTAAACTAACATTATGTCATGTCCATTGTAAAGGATTGATCACTCTAGACAATTTCCTTATGATCCAACTATGTATATATATATATATAGTCATGTAATTTATATAGATCTTTGACCGGAAGTAACTCTGAAGTGCTCTACTGTTTCTTCTATATATTCTCGAATGTACAGCCAAGAGGATGATTTTATCGAAAAGAAAAAAATTCCTCGCTACAATCGTCTGATCCAGCGGCTGAATGGTCAACGCATTCACCATGAAACCTGAAGGTCTTGAGTTCGGGTAGTGGTACATACTACTGATGGTCCCTATAGTAGGCCAAAACAAATGTCCAATGGTCCCAAGTCTTCAGTGGTTATCTAACTAATGTAAGTCCGTGATGAATACCAACTTAAAAATAACTCTGAATAGACCTCAAACTACATTTTAATATAAGACAAGCAAGGAATTAAGCATACCATTAGACTGATATGCTCAGAAAAAGCCGTCAGCAAGTATTAACAATTCCGTAGAACAATTTTGGAAATCCTGCTCAATCGATTCAACCCATCTCCCATCAGAGATGGAGCAATTCGACCCAGTGTAGCAACGGGGAATTACAAGTACTAAACAATAACAAATGATTCACAACAGGTGGCTCGCGTGTCCACGTGGTTTAGCGGATAACGCTCTGGAGTTTGAAGCGGTGGATATTGAGTTCAAGTCTCAGTGGGGACGACATTACTTACTGGGGTGTAGGTAAATTCAGCTGATGAGTCTCAAACAAGATGAAACGTACGTCCTGGATTCCACTGCCAGTCATTAAGATGAATGCAAAATATAGAATAGTTAGTTCTTAGGAACGAATAAGATAGGTTTTGTCCATGTACAACATTCGTTACATTAAGTTATAATCTCCAAGGTAGATAGATATCCCTGCACTAATCAGCAAAAAAGGTGAAGATATTCCT